TAGAATGTTCTCTTAGAACACATTAATATCCAAATATTCTCCTTTTCCCATTAGAAAATATATAGCACATTCTCCTATGGGCAATACCAGAGCTATAAGGATGACTTCAATGCAGAGTATGGGAAATACCAGAAGTTGCTGGCTCAGATGGACAATATGGCCAAGAAATTCAGGACTTTTGATGACCAACAGAAGTTTGTGACTCAGGGATCTTCAGCATATCAGGTAAAGAAGGATAAAACTGAGAAGAAGACCCTGGCAAGCTGAGGGGGTGCTGATACCCAGATGGGGGAGAAGACGGGAAGTGCCTGGAAACTAGTGGCCGTAATCCCAAAACTGTATGCAGGGCATGCACTCATGGAATAGGGCCTTGTTTCTGAGAAGCCCAATCTACAGTGGAGCACTCCAGAGTGGGGTCCAGGGGGCTCTCACGAACCAGGGAAAGCCCAGGCGAGCAGAGAGACGCGGGCCCCAGGCGCACCCCGAGCGAGTCGCTGCTGGCGCACAGGGACACCGGGACATTGACACCCTAATCTCATGGGAACTTGCTGTGCTTTATTGGCAGAGCCAGGCCTGCGTCAGGGCCACGCTCTGGGCGCTCTGGCTCTGTAAGTCCGAGGCCCTGAGCTCGGCTCAGCGGCGTCTGCGCCTCCTGCCGCCCCGGCGGCGACGGCGAGTCCGGCGTCTCCTCCGCACGCCTCGGCGACGGGAGCGGCGGCGGCTCCGGCTCCGGCTGCGGCTGCGACCCCTGCGCGACCTCCGCCGGTAGCGGGCCATGGTGATTGTGGCCAAGGACTGGGGCGGCTGCCCGGCTTTTATAGGGCTGCCAGGCAGGAGCCCTTTGTGACACCCACCAGCGCTTTCCAGAGCCAACATCACCAGCGAGATCACAATGCCCGCACGGCCACGCCTGGCCCCTGCAGAATCCATGGCTATGGACAGCCTTGGCCTACAGGATGTGGGCGGCTGCCCGGGGGCTGCCGTGGCCTTTGGGGTTAAATGGCTTAGAGGAGCTCACAGTTAGTGGCACTTTGAGAGCTCTGTCACCACCTCTGTAGCATGCCAAAACGGCTGAGCCCAGTTTGCTCAGGAACATCCTGTGCAGCTCACAGAACCGAGGTGAAACCAATGCCTTGTGTGGGAGACCACGATGAAGGGTCGAGCAAAGTCCAAACACCCAGCAACCCCCCTGGGGTGCCTAAAGACCCCCAAGAAGACCCTCTGAGACTCTGTGCAGACCCCAGCAGCTAATGCGTATTAAGATGACTTCTGAGGAATGGAATGCATATGTATATGCCTGCTACTGAATACAGGTACATCTTGAGCCAAGCATGAGTGTTCCGCTGAGTCATACCCCTCACTCCATGCATCCCTCCAGGACATGGAATTCTAAACTCTCCAGAAATGTTTGCATGCCCTAATTTTCTTTTTATCTTTCCTGTTTAGTGTAGCCCCAGTTCCTCTGATGGAGAGGATGTCAGTACCTGCACAACAAGCTGTCTCGCATTAAGAGACTAATACAGGAATTTGACAAACACCAAGAGGACTCCTAGCAGCAGTTTTCTGCTTCTGCCAATACATATCTATGAACTTGGCTTATTTTTTGAAACTGAAGATTACTTACCCTAGGATTCTTTTTCTTAGTATTGAACAGTTGCTTATTTATTTAAAACTGCAGATAATTTTCTGTAAGATTATATGTTAGTATTAAACAGTATCTTGTTTATTTAAAACCCAAGATCCAGTTCCTCTAATAGTATATAAGATAGTATTTCACATTTTCATTAAAGAAGTTTCAGTATTGTTGACTCCCTGTGGTGGTGGTGTTGCTTATATCATATTTGAAGCTGCTTTTTTCTGGTCCATCCTATTATTCAAGACTCAGGCTGTCCATTGAAAGAATTTTTTCCTTAGATGGTTGAGATCCAGTACCTCTGCTAAAAAGTTGTCTATAATTTAGTAAAATATTGTAGCAAATTGTAATACTTTAGAATAAGTACAAGCCTGTTTTCTGATCTCTCCGGTTAATGCAAACTCTTGGCCTTATGTGGTAGAAATTTGGGCAAACTCCCCCAAAATCATCGTGTTATGAAAGGTTAAAGAGACGGCATTTGGGCTGCTCTGCACTGTCAGTTGAAGCAGCTCACAGGTCTGCTTTAAAGTCTGGGGTTCCCCTTGTCAGTGAGCCAAGTAATATCCAGATCCTTTGGAAGTGATTTGTAAAACACATAGACACGTGTTGAGGCAAAGTACTTCAACAGGTTTTATACGCAAGTTGGGTTAAAGTGTCACAGTAGAAACTTTACCCATTTGTTAGCTTTGTTAAAAATAGTCTGTCACAACCAGTCTTTCTAGAGCCACAAATGTTGATTCCTGCACAGATCTGTGGTGACTCTGAAGTCTAGTTCTTTCCCTGAGTTTACTACCATTTATTTCTTTAACTCATCGGGGAGAGGTGTGTCCTAAGCTTCTTTTGGGGAAGGATATGAAATTGACTGAGGGAGGACAGTAAATGAGAACATTAAAACAGGGCTGTGGATCCACCTTTCTTCCTCGGAGAGTCGTTTAAAAACAACTTCGTCAATTGTCTCCCTGCAAACTGTGTTAAGCCCCTGTATGTGACACTTCCTGGGGTGTTTTGTGATTGAACACCTGAGCCATTGTTGCCCTTCTGTTCTCCATCAACTGAAGTCCAATAGAACGTTAACTCTTAAATGTTGAGACTCTGGTCTCTTTTTGGCTGGAGGCAGGGGGCGCTCCTACCCCTCTGCAAGGAGGCAGCAGAACAAAGGCTGCTGTGGGGAGCGAGGGGTGAATTCTGCTGTAGTGATGCATCCTCCCGCCCTGACAGCTCTGTCCTGCAGCTGATTGCCAGAGCCTGCAACATGCTTCTGTCCAGAGCAGGCAGAGAGAGGTTTTACAAGCAGAGATCCTTATTCTGGGTCCTATTTCACTGTGCCTGTAAACTTTCTTTAGGATGGGGAATGTCCACATACTTATGAGGCCTGCATGTTTCAGGCTGTCATTTCGGTCCAGATGCCTAAAAAAGAAACCAGAAATAAAACAAAACCCTATTCCAAAGCCACCTAAATCAGGAAAGTCTTCTAAAGTTTATAATGAAAAAGTCACCAATCCAGCAAGTTAGAGTTGCTTGAAAGCTGCTTTACATTCTTGTTAAGAATGATTGTATGAGCTCAGAAGGCTCTGCATGGCTTGGATCTAACCCTGCATAGTTATAGCTGGGGAACAAAGGAAGACCATCCCTGAAGACCAGAAGCTGCCTTTTTTTTTTTTTTTACACAGCAGTGGGGCTGTGGCAGAGTTTTCTCTATGGAACGAGGCATGTTTTCATCATCCCATGAGCGACCACAGGATGTCATCATTTGTGTCCCCAAACAGAACTTCTTTTCTTCATGAAGTGCCTGCCCAAAGGAAACTACAGCTTCCTACTATTTGGAAAATCCAGGTACTGAGAGCTGTGTAAATAGCCAGGAGACAGAGGAGCTAATTATGAGAGTTCACTGAACAAATCTCAGTGAGGCCTCTCAACTCGGTGGAGGTCTCAGCCTATTTTATCCCCTTTGCCTGGAGCACTGGTTCCTTCCCGTTTCTCCATTGGCTGAGATCCTCAGGTAGTTACAGACTTCCTGATACACCTACTATATGTTCCTCATTATATGCTTTTTAGGTGGCTCTGAAGGTCACTGAAGGACAAACTACACATTTTTCAAGATGGAGGTTACAGCACAATTCAAAATGGAGGATATCACTACATTATATATTCCTTGCTGCTGATTGTCTCTTGTTTCTGGACAATCTGCACCTCTGTGTGACTGACAACTGCACAACTAGGAACTTGTTACTGCTAAGCCAACTGTGACTACACTACAAACTTTGCAAGAACACCCACTTATTCCTAAAAAGCTGTATTCAAAATAGGCAAGTCTATGCCGTATTAGATCTCAGCAAACTTAGCTGCTACTTATAGATTTATACAAAAAAAGCCTTGCTACCTCCTTTTACGTGAGCAAGACTTTTCACGGTATAGTGCTGCTAACAGGACCCTTTTGGAATGAAAACCTGTGTTGCAGTATAAATTCTTTATGACACAGCAGAGATAAGAAATGATCTTAGCCAGAAACCATAAGATTTAAACAAAGACAAGGAAAGTCTGTTTACATCCACTCCCTGAAATTCTTACATTATCTTTTAATTAAGCAGACTTGTAGGCTTCATAGGTAAATCCCTTTATCACTTTGTTTGCCCCATCTGCCTTGTGATTGTGATAAAGAAATATCTGTTTATCTGCTTGAAGAAAAATATCTCCCTGTGTTTCCTGGACCTTTAACCCCAGCTATGAATGGAATGTTTGTCCCTCTTTCCCAAAACCCTATATATACCAAAGTTGTGATGAATAAAGCACTCAGTTTTGTACACGCAAGCTGGATCGTTGCTTCCTTAAACCGTCACAATGGCTCCCAAGAACAGCAACATGAATCCTTGAGGGGAGTAGAGGCAAGGACGAAGAAGAGGTCCTGCTGCGGTGACGGGTCGCAATCGAACGGAACGAAAAGCGCGCTAAACCAGTTCCTCTCTGCTGGACAGAAGGTAAACGCGATTGCGGAATAGGGCGAGGTTTGAATGCTCGGAGGCCAAAAAGAGAGCTTCCTCCGATCGAAACAAAAAGGCTTCTTTAAGCACCTAGGGGCCAAAAATAGCTTCGAAACAAAAACGACGGGCAAATAACTGCCCTGAACAAAAGGGCTTAGGAAATGGGATCTAAGATGTCCTCAGAGAAAAAGACAGTTTACGAACTGATGAAATGCCTCCTTAAACAACATGGGCTCGAATTAGGTGACTTTTCCTTGCAAAACTTACTGCCGTAGGACGCAGCGCCACTGCCAGTGGGAAGAAAGCGCCAAAATAGCGTCAGCTCCTCGGCACCGCTGCTGCCGGAGGCGCCGCCCCCAAAGTCCCTACCGCCGCGGCCGCCGCCGCTTACTACCGCTGCCAGGAGCAGCAGCCGCTGCCGGGGGGGACTGGCCGCCGCCCGTCTCGCTTCCCAGTTTCCAGCTCTGCCATCGCCGCCAACCCGCGCAGGGTTGGAGTGCGGGCGAGCGCCAGCGAGCTGCCGCGCTGCCTCAGCAAGTTCCTGTGTCGCCGCCTGCAACAGCTGCCAATGGCGGCCGCTGCCCAGCGGGGGCTGCTCGCCGCCTGCCTCGTCGACCTGCAGTTTTCAGCCTCTCCGCCGCCGCGGAATGCGAACCGGCACGCGGCCCCCTGCCTCTCTGAGTCGCCCGTCCCCGACAAGCGCCCAGCCCGTAGAACTCGTTCTCCGATCGGAAGAGCTGCCTGACCGCCTCCCTCAGCGATTCCGAGCCGCCCAGCCTGGAGGACTCAGACTGCAGCCAGCCGCCTGTCCATCTCCGACAATTGAGGGGGGATGGGGAACCAGCCGTGGGGGGTCTCACGTCGACCCTGCACGTAAGTGATCGAAAGAAGAAGGCGAAATCTCTCTCTCATTACTCCTTCTAATCTCTTGTGGGTAACTTAAAACCAATGTTTAACTTAAACTGGTATACAGAAAGTTTTAGGGAGTTTCCTGTGGAACGGGTGCTGAAGTTTTAGCGAAGTGCCTTGTTCTTGTTTGTGTTTTCCTCCTGTAAGAACCTTTTGCCAAAATATCGTATTCAGCAAAAAAAAAAAAGAGAGTTTTGGCAAAAAGAAAACGAACCCCTGATAAAAACAGTCTGCCAGGAGGGGAAAAAAAAAAAAAGTTAAAAATCCTCTTGCTGAAAGTCTGCCTTTGCAAAGGTAGAGATAAAGTGTGTTCACACAAAAGAGATCGTTTGTTGCTTAGTAACCGGGCGGGAGGTTTAAATCTTTCCGGCCAGAGAAAACTGTATACCCTGACGCAGGAAGATTTAAACTGCCGGTTTCTCGGAGCTGGGGGGAAGTGGATTCTCTCGTCTTCTGTCTCGTCCGTTCTGGGATGGGGAAAAAGTAAAACCTTCCTGCTTTATAAAAACTGTCACTTTGCTACTTTGTGGTTGGGGAAAAAAAGTTCTCTTGGCCGTTCGGCTTGGGGGGGTGGGGGGGACACACATAGAAAATCCAAACCTCTCTCTCGCTTTGAATTTTCCTGCTTACAGGATAGGGGGAGGGGAAGGGAGGCACTGCAAACTGAAACCCCTTCTATCACTCAGTTCCCTTATCAGTTGGCTGCTTCTAACAAACCCTTTCCCGGGGGGGGGGTGGTAAAGAAGCAACAGGCATGTTGCCCGTAACGAAGACACAAACCAACAGAGTGCCAGTTTATGCGGTGCTTTATTCACGGCCCGGGAACCTGAGGACTAGCGTCCCAAGTCAGGATTCCAAAGACCCTCATTCTCAGTTCAGCTTTTATACACAAACAAGTTTACGTGCAGTTTCCACAGCAAAACAGTTACAGTTACAAACAAGCTCATACTTCATTCTGATAACAATTAATAATCATCTACTTTAATCATAAATCTGCTTAAGTTGTCTTACCCCTAGAAACTGTTTAACAGACCCTTACCACATCCTAGGTAACAAATCATTATATACATGCTTGACTAAATCCTTTGATTATTGTTTCTACTTCTTCAGCACAACACTCCATGCTCACAAACAAGGTTGCTAACTTACTACTTTGGAGTGTTGCTTTTTAGGCCTGCTCTCTTATTAAGCCTTAGCCATTCTACTACCAGTTGCTAAACTTCAGTTATTTTGCAACAGGCAAACCCCAAAACCTCTTGGGAAAGCAAAAAAAAAAATGCTACCTTTCTCAAGGAAAACTAAGAAACCAATTAAAGCTAAAAGTACTGCCTAAAACCCAAAGATTCTCTAGGGAATAAATAAGGTGAGTTCCCTTTTGTTGTCTAAAGCCCTTAAAGCTGCCTTTACGCTGTCATCTACTAAGATCAATATGATGCCCTGACTCCTATAATTAAAAATCAGAGATGAAATTACAAATCATTGTATAAATTTATATTGTTATTAACTAGGAATGTTTAAGTTTTGTCTCCTCAAAACCAGAATACTGGCCTGAATAAGGAATGGTGAGCCACTTAAGTAAAAATGGAAAGAACTGTTATCTTGATTCCTGTGATATCTGCAAATGAGAACTCCTAAAAATGAAGCCAAACGAAGAACCATACTGAACAGTGAAGTCAAAGAAAGCAACAACAAGAATCAGAGACTGTAAAATAAAATCACTAAATGCCTTGCCTTCTGTTTGCAGTATAGAGTCTTCTATATTGTCTTTGTTTGTCTTTGTTTTCTAATTGTTTCAGCACGTGAAAAGATTCCCTGATAATTTGTATGAGGACTCATACAAGATTTCATGTGAATCGAATCTGGTTATACTAAGAAAACTCACGGTATCTTTTTTTTTAAAAACATCAATAAGTTGCCATTTTAAATATGTATTTGCCTCATTATTCTCACTTTGACACTCACCATACACCACTGACAGACTGCAGAGATACAAAAGGACTAGGAAGTTGCAAACAAGACGTCATAGGTGTGACTACTATAGAAAGCACATTTGTTTCACCAGTGCTTATGTTGCATCTAGTCCTTGAAATCAAAAACATAGATGCCTGATTTTTATGACCTTTGTTATGTCTCTCTATGTCCCTACCACAATGTAGGTATGATCACCTGTGCTTGTGTTGAAAGCCAGTCTGTTTTCTTCACTTTCAGATTTCTGAACCTTAATTTTAGGGGGTTTAATTTTGATCGCCTAATTTGGCTTGAGAAATACATGGATGTCAGTAATAGGAACTGTAAAGGTGACAAGCTATTTCATACAGATTTGATTTGAAGTGTTTTCTGGTTTATTCAATGGAAACAGGTTTAACAAAGCAGAGTTTTTACCAATTAAGGTGGACAGCAAGACTTTCATATAAAGATATGCAGAATGCTTCTAAATTGATGTGATTCCTTCATATGTCTTTATAATGCCAAGCTTTGTGGCCCAAATTATTCTGACATGTAATGCCTTCATATAATTATGCTTTCCATGTAAGAAGAGCACATGAGTGTAGGAAGCAAGAAGCAATGGTAAAATGGTTAAAATTAGTTCCAATATTTTGTTGACATATTTGGCTTTGTGATTACTGCAAGTGGCATAAAGCTGCTTGAAACATTTTTTCAGGTATATAAAGAGATGTACATTGTCTGGAAAAAGAGGCCTTCTTGCTAAATTAATTTTTACTTGTGGTGTTAAAAGTAAGGCTGAAGTGTTTCTTGTTAAATCCATTTAAGAATACTTTTGCTTCTAAAATGCAGCTATAGATTTTTGTTATTAACTCATTCTGAATTGATACATCAAAACATTGATAAGTTAAAGAAACTTTCAGCTCAACTTAAAGAAGATAATAATCAAGGCTTAGGTGGCATGTTTAGTTGGCTTAATATGTTTAGTATAGTACCCTAGTTAAAGAAAGCATTTATAGTAATATTAATGGGCCTGTTTGTATTTTTTTGTATTATGCTTTGTATTCTCTGTTTATTATCTTGTATACAACACGTGGTTAATTGCAGTTTTGTGGAAAGCCTCAATCTCGCAGCTTGAAAACAAAAAGGGGGAGATACTGGAGTATGAATTCTTTGTGACACAGAAATCTTAGCCAGAAACCATGGGATTTAAACAAAGACAAGGAAAGTCTGTTTACATCCACTCCCTGAAATTCTTACATTATCTTTTAATTAAGCAGACTTGTAGGCTTCATAGGTAAATCCCTTTATCACTTTGTTTGCCCCATCTGCCTTGTGATTGTGATAAAGAAATATCTGTTTATCTGCTTGAAGAAAAATATCTCACTATGTTTCCTGGACCTTTAACCCCAGCTATGAATGGAATGTTTGTCCCTCTTTCCCAAAACCCTATATATACCAAAGTTGTGATGAATAAAGCATTCAATTTTGTACACGCAAGCTGGATTGTTGCTTTATTAAACCATCACAAACCTGGACCTTGAGGTAGTTTGCAACTCATACAGGAAACCTACTCCAAGATAGTCTCCTTAAATATTGCCAAAGCACAGGAGAAAACTTTTTCACCTTTTATGGTCTAAGGAGCTGAGCTTTTGAAACTTTATAGTCAGTTTGAAGTATAAAAAGACTACTTCAATTTGGATGGAAGAACATGGCTCTCATTAAATTGTATACGTCTTCAGGGTAAAAAAACCTGCTACTGCCTTCCGCAAACAAAGCAAGAAACCTAACAGATTCAAGGACTCAATTCTGAAAACTCAGTGTAGGATCAACCCAAACTGTACACATGTGGAATTTTACTCGCTTTACGAGGATCCAAACCTCTTTTTTCCTACATAAGGACAAAATATTCCAACTTCACAAATGAAATGCATGCATAATTCAGTCATAGCCTACAGGGAAAGGAAGCAGTAAAAGGAATGAGGGATGCATGGGACTGACTCAGCTTAATGTTTGTGCTTGTCTCAAGATGATACACGTATTTATTAGCCAGGGATATATGTGTGAATTCTCTTTATCAAAAGACATTTTAATACGCATTAGCTGCTGGGATCTACACAGACAGTCTCAGAGGGTCTTCTTGGGGGTCTTTAGGCACCCAGGGGGTTTGCTGGGTGTTTGGACTTTGCTCGACCCTTCATCGTGGTCTCCCACACAAGGCATTGGTTTCACCTCGGTTCTGTGAGCTGCACAGGATGTTCCTGAGCTCAGCCGTTTTGGCATGCTACAGAGGTGGTGACAGAGCTCTCAAAGTGCCACTAACTGTGAGCTCCTCTAAGCCATTTAACCCCAAAGGCCACGGCAGCCCCCGGGCAGCCGCCCACATCCTGTAGGCCAAGGCTGTCCATAGCCATGGATTCTGCAGGGGCCAGGCGTGGCCGTGCGGGCATTGTGATCTCGCTGGTGATGTTGGCTCTGGAAAGCGCTGGTGGGTGTCACAAAGGGCTCCTGCCTGGCAGCCCTATAAAAGCCGGGCAGCCGCCCCAGTCCTTGGCCACAATCACCATGGCCCGCTACCGGCGGAGGTCGCGCAGGGGTCGCAGCCGCAGCCGGAGCCGGAGCCGCCGCCGCTCCCGTCGCCGAGGCGTGCGGAGGAGACGCCGGACTCGCCGTCGCCGCCGGGGCGGCAGGAGGCGCAGACGCCGCTGAGCCGAGCTCAGGGCCTCGGACTTACAGAGCCAGAGCGCCCAGAGCGTGGCCCTGACGCAGGCCTGGCTCTGCCAATAAAGCACAGCAAGTTCCCATGAGATTAGGGTGTCAATGTCCCGGTGTCCCTGTGCGCCAGCAGCGACTCGCTCGGGGTGCGCCTGGGGCCCGCGTCTCTCTGCTCGCCTGGGCTTTCCCTGGTTCGTGAGAGCCCCCTGGACCCCACTCTGGAGTGCTCCACTGTAGATTGGGCTTCTCAGAAACAAGGCCCTATTCCATGAGTGCATGCCCTGCATACAGTTTTGGGATTACGGCCACTAGTTTCCAGGCACTTCCCGTCTTCTCCCCCATCTGGGTATCAGCACCCCCTCAGCTTGCCAGGGTCTTCTTCTCAGTTTTATCCTTCTTTACCTGATATGCTGAAGATCCCTGAGTCACAAACTTCTGTTGGTCATCAAAAGTCCTGAATTTCTTGGCCATATTGTCCATCTGAGCCAGCAACTTCTGGTATTTCCCATACTCTGCATTGAAGTCATCCTTATAGCTCTGGTATTGCCCATAGGAGAATGTGCTATATATTTTCTAATGGGAAAAGGAGAATATTTGGATATTAATGTGTTCTAAGAGAACATTCTAACGTGCCTCTATTCTATAAAGCCCACGTGCAATTTTACACCAAGCACATGGTGAATGCAAGATAAGCGTAAACAATTTACTGCCACAGTAAATGGCCTAAAGGTGTCCACTTACAGAGCTGGAGCGGTTGTAGCTCAGTGTGCCATGACACCTTGAATTAAACATCAGACATTGGCAAGGCCACAGGTTCTTCCCTAGAGAGGCAAGCCCCAAAACTGTGCAACAAGGAGAACACAAGGCTGCGGACTCCCATGGATGTGCACATGGAGTTTTCCTGGGGCTATTTTCGGGAATAGAGTCCAGGAACTCCCCCTGTAACATCAAAGAGTGAACTGCAAAACCATCATCCACCTGCTCAGCTGCCCACTGTTCTTTCCTGAGTCTCCTACGGTATCCTAGTTCACTTTGATCCTGAGGAGAATAGGAGCTGGACTAGATCCTAAACTGACCAGAAATCTTTCATTTCTGACAGAAGAGTATTTACACTTTCCATGTTCTCCCACAGGAAAACTAACAGCTGAAAGAAAACCTGCCAGCGGGTGAAATGAGCATAAGTTGGGCTTTGCTTTTGCCATCACGGGAGGTGTTTGTTTTTGCACTGTAAACCTTCAGCTTGTTTCACCAACGTTCCCAGCTGTGTGTCTGATAGGTGAAGTTCTGTCTGCTTTTGCTGTTGGTGGGGCAGAGCATCTGCCACCTTCCTCCTTTGGGGATGTGTCTGGGAGCTTACTAAAGGGGAAACGGTGGGGAGAGTTCCAGTTGGGAGCTGAAGTGCACTGCTCTATTCTCAGATTTCAATTCACCTGCTGTCTGAAAGATAAAATTACTATCCACACCACGCAGCACCTACTCACCCCGTAAAAGCCCAATGGAAATCCAAACAACCAACCAAGTGGAGAAGCAAAAAGCAAAAAACTCTCTGAAAAGATGAGCAGAATGTGTCAAGGCAAACAGAGAGCTCAGAGGAGAAGGGCAGTATATGACCAGTTTACTAAAGGCATGAACTCTCCAAGGCCCTCAGACAGACATTTTCCCTCCTACTTTCTTGTCTTTGTGCAGACTCTGCATTACCACTTGCTGCACACACTGTAACCTGGTGAAACTTCAAGACCTACATCTGGAGGCATTTTGAAGAAATCATTGATGGCTGCCCTCCATACCCTGCTGGTCCCTGAGATGTTATTATTTGAGTCATGCTAATAAAGATCCATGTTTCAGAGAACCATTCTTGAAAGGAAACTCATACAGGTAACCTTGATTGCAAGAGAACATGGCACAGACACACCTACAGGTACAATATTTATAGGCCTTGCTTAAGGCTTCCCTAAATATGAAATGACACAGAAGGGACCAGAACGGTGCCTTATATGGACAGTCAAGAGATTGTTACCATTAACTGTCTTCTTGTATATTTTATTTGTGTGGTTTGGCCAGGAAATGACCATCACAAAAACTGATTCTGAACAAGTAGATACTGAGAAATGGCTTGAAGAAAGAGGGTTGTGTGTATTTTACACATACGTGTGTATATATATATTTATATACACATATATGCTTTATATATATATTTAAAGTGTGTGTGTGTGTGTATATGTACTGTAAAGATGTTTTGAAGTAGGCAGTATAGAAGAGCAAGCAAGTACCAGCAGAGGAAAAGAACCAAACTAGTGGAGACAAACACTGAAACAGTAAATTATAATCTGAGCATGGCAGCCAGGAGACCAGATATGGGCTGAAATGGATACGATCTTGAAAATAAAGACAAGATTTCATGGTATGGAAAGTGAGCTCTGGAAGATCACAGACCCAGCACGAGTCATCCCAGAGCACCTCAGTGACCTCACAGCCATTTGCTCTGCCTTGGAATGTGGAACTGCCCATTTCCAAGGGCATGAATTGGGACTGCTCAGAGCGTTTCGCGCCTGGAGCAGGAACGCAGCGAGAGCGGCATTGGAGACAAACCATCATTGTCAGAGCAGGACCATTGTCCCAAAATAGATTCTTGCACTCAGTGTGCAAAAGGCTGATCACGCACAGTATGGAGGTAATTGATTTATTGGCAGTTCTGCACAGAAAGGGGTACAGATCCACAGAGCCAGCACAGTGATTGCCAATCCTTTCCCTGTTGATACATGTTAGCAAACAAACGCATTAATGTTCATTGGGAACAAGTCACTTTTTCATAGTCATACTAATTATATTCTATCCTCTATTGGTTAATGATTCTCTTGCTTCCTATGTTAATTAGTCTGCTTGCTCAGTCTTTCTTGTCCTTGGAGCCCATGGATTTCTTGGGCCAGTGGCCATGAGTCAGTGGTTGTGATCTGCTCCTGCTGGAATTACCTTGTACTCAGTCAGAGCTGATTCAGCACACTTGCTGGGTTGCCTTTACTAGTTTCTTCCTTGTCTTGGGTGTTCTGCCAAATGTCCTGTGGCTCATAAATTCTGCATTCCTGGTGTCTACTATGAGTGGTACATCTTTCTTCCCAAGCCTTGTTAACCTCCGTCTAGGTCTGAGATCATTGGAATATGTTGAACCCATAAAAAGGCAATTCTACAGATGAGTAATTTGTCTTTCCAACACCTGGACATCACTTAGAGCTTGTTGGCTACTTTCTCTTTCATGGATTAAATATCTCCTCTTGTTGATTAGGTTTGAAAGTATACAGAGATCAAACATCAATGAGCATCGTTCCGTAAGAAAAATTGTATGTCTTCCACATTTTGCAATAGGAGCAGTTGGGAGCAAGAGCAGCAGAAGTGCAGTGGGAGCCTGAGTTGGCGGAGCTGTGGGACAGAGCGCAATCCACCATGTCCTGGTGGAACAGGGCCCCAAACATCACCAGGATGCACATTGAGCTGAACAAGAGCTCCCAGGACTGCCAGGTGAGGGGTGGGCACTGGGCTCTGTGGGTTGGCACAGGGCAGGGGTTAGGGTGTGGTTTTGGTGTCCAGTGCCCACGGGACCCGCTGGGCAGGGCTGGGGCCTCCTTATGCTCCGAGGGCCCCTCGGAACACAGCCATGCCGGTAGAAGTGGCCCACGGGGGACAGCATGGAGGCTCCAGTGGAAGTCAGAGATTCCCTGTGCTGTGACACTCAGTAAACTCGTGCTCTGGCTCAGCTCCCAGCCAAAATGCATGGATTTGTCCTTGTTCCATGGTCACGCGAGCTGTGCTGTCACGGCAGGAGAGGAGGTCCCATGGGTTGGCAGTGGCAGCGATTACTGCTGGGCTGCAGAAGGCTTGGCTCCAGTAGGTTTAAATGTGACTTGGGTGTTTGACCTTTGTCATTGTGGCCACGTGTCGTGGTGCCGGCATTCTTCCAGTTAATGTAAAGGCATTGACTCAGGACAAAGAGTCGTTCTTTCGAGAAGGGATGCCTTCCTGCAGCAGGGGCATTTGCAGGTGGGACATGAAGGGATGGAGGTGGGACATGCAGCAGTGGTGGTGGGACACAGTTCTGAGATCAAAGCACTCCCTGGGAATGGGAGCCAAGCGTCAAGGAGCTTTGCCTCCTCATCTTGGGTATGTCAGACCATCATTTGTTTTATTAATAGTTGACAAGAATATCAGCATCGGGGGAGGAATAAGGGAGGGAGAAGATACCATTTCTTTCTTTTGTCTCCATTTTAAATGGTTATGGTCTGCCAGCTCAGACATCTGTCCAGTGCCAGAAGGGGAGGACAGGAATGATGGTCTGTAGGTGGTGATACCTTAATGCTCAGCTCAATTGCTGACCCAGTTCTATGCTGACTGTGCCACTGAAAATTTGCAATGAAGGTTTAAAATCAGAACTTGGAATTTTCAGATCTGACACCCCAAACTACCAGGTTGCATTACTTTCTGTTACCGCTTGTAGAATAGTAGCAGTGCCTGCTTATGGTGAATAGCTGGGAAAATACTCTGGTGTTTGGGAAGTGCTCTTGGTGTAAGATGAGCTCTGTGTCTCTAGGGTTTATACAGCAACCTGGCTGTGGAGCTGTGTGCTAAGGTTTTGTAAATGTTTCCTGCCTACTGAGTACTATCTGGGTTGTCTGAAGACACTGTATATTAGAAAAAAACAAACCTGCAATCAAACAATTTAAAGTTAATTCTTGAAGTAATTCAGGACACACTGAGGGAGGCTAAATTCCTGTTATATGTCCGTATTTGTGTCTTTGAATGGCTCTCCTACCCCACAGCATGGTACTTTCAATATATTGGAAGAAATTGCAGGCCAATTTGAGGATGTAGAATTTAAAATGACATTTTAAAGTAGGCAGCAGAGGGTAAAGAGCATTCCACTCTCATCCAGAAGTGCTGCAGCCTGGCCAGTGGTGACACTGGGGCCAGCTCAAAGCCCAGTACACATGTCAGATCGCAGTGCTGGTGCGTGTGTGAGCATCTGAGCTGTGGGTTTTACTGGGACAACTGCCCCTGCCTCCTGGATGAAAGGCAGGAGGCAGGAAGAGGGTGTTCCTGAGCCACAGAGCCCGCTCCTGTTGATCCCCTCACCTGTCTGCCTTACCCCAGGTTGCACAAGTGCTTGGTCAGAGCTGGCCAGAGTTCGTCTGAGTCTGTTTGAAGTCTTGACTTTTTTGCTGTCAGTTAACAGCAGGAGCTTATTCTCATTTGAGAAGACTTAAAAGGGCTCTCTGCCTTCTATCATTTCAAAAGAGCTTGAAGCAAGAAATCTTCATAATTTTATCCTAAAATCTCAAATTTCAAAACATGAAAACTTTAAGACTTAATTTTTACAGAACATCTCTCCTTCCACTCGTTGTTTTCTGTAACCTGTGCTAAGACCTTTTTTTCCTTTTTTTTTTTGAAGTTGAAGAAGATCCTGTACCAACTCAGGCCTTCCTTTCTGGGATTTCCTTTATCACATCCAGGCTGGCATCTTCCTAAGTTTCTCTGTGTATAGATGAATAGGTTTGGTGTCCTTGCTGCCCTGTGCACTGCTATCCTTACTGACACTTGTCTCTGCCCTTTGGCACTAAATGGAGCTGCACCAAAGCAGTTTTGGTCCATGTTATAGCCAGTGATGCTCCAGGGAAGGAGGACCCTTTGGTGAATGCCTTGCTGTGTGCTTCCTGCAGTGATGTTCAAGAGGATGATCTAGGAGAAAACTTTTTTTATTATTATTTTAGTTGTTATTTTTAATTTCTTCTGTAGTTCCTTGCATGGTTGGGGCTTTGCATCTGTGTAGGACTGGCACAGTCAAATGCCCTGGTTGGCTGGCCCAGAGAAAGCAGCAGGAACATACTGGTGGAGCCAGGCTTCTGGTAGCCACCCTGTAGGTTCGCTTCACTAACTTTTAAGAGCACACCCTGGTTGTGGTATTAAACTAACACTAGTGTTGTTAAAGTCTCTCCTAATGTTTGTATCCTAAAGTCACACCAGTGCTGGACGTTCAGGCACTTGAAAAAAGGGAGTCCCTACATAACTCAGTTGAAAAATCTGCCGGTGAGTGAAGATTCTTTGGGTTGATGAAATTTGCCTTGGAGTTTATGCAGGCGTAGATGAAATTTTTTTCTTTGGGGAAGCTTAGAGCAGAGGCAAAAGAATCAAGTTTCCTGCAGCTGCCACCAATGAGGAATGATCTGCTCAGTCTCTCCTCTGTCTTTTCAGTGCTGATCTAGAAAAAGTCTTTCTGCATCTCTCTCAGCCTGGAGAGATGCATTTGACATCAGTGGTAAGACTTCCTGCATGCTTCTGTTAAAATAATGCCCATTTTGTAGGCTAAACAATTTGGGAAATTACTCAGTTTCCCAAACTGGAAAATACTTCTGCAATGGCTGCTTGTCAGGATACAGGAGATACAGTAGGATATAGTAGACCAGCAGTGAGACTGGGAAAATAACATGATGGAAACATCTGGAAAGCAGATCAAGAGCAGCATAGTCCCATGTCCAAGTCTCACATCATTGTCCTGCAGTTCAACCTGCTGTTTCTTGTTGCTTTAGTTGCATTGGTGCTCCCCTGTATTGCAGAAGTGTGGTACTGTGGGCTTGTTTGGTGGGATGTTGGACCTGCAGATATTTTCTGTACAGCTACTTCCCCGTGGTGGGTTTTTGCTTGAAACGAGGTCCCTGGCACAGCCTCTTGTGAAGGATATTCTACATCTCTTTTCTGACCCCCATTCCCTTTTTACAAGACTTTTTTCAAGACATTTTAATGATTTTTAAGCTCCAGCAGAAAGCGGCACCTTCTGTACTAACTGATCAGTGCAGCCAAACAAACCAAGGTTTTTAGGTCTGACTAACCATTTCACATTTATGCAAATAATTACATGTAGAGCTGAGGAAAACAAAAAGGGGTTTTACGCCTGTTGAAATTGGCATTCATCTTTTCTAGTTGTAGTCCTTGTTGGAGCTGACTCCAGTATGTGTTTTCTTGGGATCAAATAAATCCCAGAGTTGGATGCTGCCCCAACTTTGTAATTTATTTCCCAACTGCTCTCCTCTCATTTGTAAGCTGATCTCCAGCCAGTTCGATTGCACTCAAGCACTTACATTTCAAGGGAAGTATATGCCTATTTATTCTGGGAAGCAGGAAGGGATGACTTGCTAATTAAATGCTTTGCTGAATTAGAAGCTGAGTGACTGCTGCTATCTCAGTGGTTTTGTGGCCAGCTGCTTTCAGAGGGAGAATTGTGACAGAGCAGCTCTTTTTAGTGACCGAAATAGTAGCAAAATCTTCAAAATACAGTTATCCATTTAAAATTATGGGCCTAATTAATTGCCAGCAATGGAGTGTAGAGTGAAGTTTTCACAGAAACTATTTTTATCTTTTAGCCAAATGAAGTGCGTGCATTTAACTTCTCTTTGTCAAATGCTGGCAAAGATAATCCTCAGGGAAACTTTGACTGTGTCCAGCAAACTGGCTCAACGTAAGTTTTGCTTCATGTTTTCTTTCATGGCACATTTCAGTGGATTCTGTGGCTTTGAGCATATGGTGAAAACCTTTACAGGAGCATGTTCCTGGTGATGACTGAAGTAGGAAATGAATTCCCAGCAATACATGGCTTCTTGCTAGTTACAAACGCTTGCTTTTCTGTAGAATTCTTTTTGGTTTTGTTCCTAAAAAAAACCTACCTTCTGAGTACTTTCCCCCCTCTTAGTGGTATTTTTCAAAGGCTTTGGAGCTCAGGATGGTCCAAGCTTGACCAGATCTGTCCTACAACTGTATGTCAATATGATTATGGTTGGCAGCATGCTGGCCCTGATGGAGAGTTGTCTTATCTTAACAGCCACAAAAACGGTATCTGAAAGGGCCCAGGCTTCCAAGGCTGGTACAAAGCAAGCAACAGGAGTTTAAGTTAGGAGGGAGAGGTCCTGCCTCCACTCCTGGCCTGCCTGTCCTTAGCACCTTTGAGGGCACCTTCTTCTTAGGGAAGGATGGCTTGAATGAAACTGTATTTTTTATGTCAGATTAAATTGATTTAGCTAATTTAGCTCTAAATAATTCTGACTTGGAAGCCTAGGTAGTTTTAATGAGGTTTTGCTAATTTTCCTCAAAATCTATTTCAGACCAGCTTTCACGGGCCCTGTGTAGGCAGTGTTCAGTTTGTGCAAAGTACCTGCAAAGTTAAGGCAGAACTTGCAGTAGTGTTACACACAGAGCCATTTAAAAAATGGCCTTTTCTTTCTGTTGTAAATATGCCGGTTTTGGAGTGATGGATCAATCCATAGTCCATGGCTATGGACAAAACTGGAGCTGTATCATGTTGAAATACTGGCGAGTGGCCTTGTGCAGCTTTGTGACTTTCAGAAAGGACACGATAAATTGAGACTCAGGTTGTTGATGCTTTTTCTTGGAGCCTTAATTGGGCATTTTAGAGTGGTTGAAGCATTTCGGGTGAGCTGAAGCTGGTGTCCTGTCCTCGTCAGGGCCGTTGCCGTGGCAGGTGCCACACAACAGGCTTGGTAAGGGTGGTGGGAGTAAGGGCAGGGCCCAGGAAGGCTCCAGGGCAGGATCTGCCTGCCAGGAGGGTGCCGGGGCAGCTGCCCAAGTGCTGCCTGTGGCTGTCACTGCAGCGGTTCTCAGGAGAACAAGCACCACAGCCCTGCAGTTGTGTGAGGAAATTGTAACCACACTGACAGGTAAAACTGGCAAAGTCTGAACGTGTAGAGGCAGTTGGAAATCTGTTTACATCCTAGCCTGCTGTCAGAACTGGGAAATGTTTTTCTTCTCCTGATACAACCATACTTCTCATGCTGAAGTAGTGCCTGAGGGGCTCAACATTTTTCAATGTTTTTATAGTTACGGAGCGTTGCAATTCAAACTCCTGACCCAGGCAGAAAAGGCATCACGAAATCAAGGTGCAGAGGTTACTGATGGACCTGATGGGCCATTTTCAGGTATGGTTGCTTTTATTTTTTATTGGATGTCTGTAAGTTTTAAACCTAGTAATTAATTTCTGTGGCGTTTTCTTGGGACGAGTGATGTGTTCAGACATCTCAGGTGAATATCATTCATTATTGAACTGTTCTGAGCACTGTTTCCCCAAGAAGCCTGTTTCCAGGCAGACACAAGGTGGACATGCCCCTTACAGGCTCTCAGTGGTACCAGCAGCAGTGGTCCTGCCTGCAGCAGTGAGCTGAGCCAGGTACATCCACCTTCACAGAGTAAAATGGGCTCTCACTTGGCCCTGGCTGCAGTCGCCTGCCGGCAGGGACATCCCTGACAATGAAAGTGCAGCTCTTGCTCTGTCTGTACACGGCAGAGCATTTTAAGCTAGCATTGTCATGGCTTTTTGGAAAGAGGAAATTAAGCATGTGTGGCCTTGACTCCAAGGGAGCTTGTCTGGGATTGATTGTAGGAGATGGTGCTGGCACTGCTCCCCCTCTGTTTTTTGAACTGCTCCGTAATGCAGTGTGAGAGGAGCCACTTTCATGTATTTCAGAACTTCTCATTGGGGAAGTTCTGTTTGACATTGAATGATGATATGTGTGATTCTTGGTGGTGGTGTAAATAGATCTCAAGTGAATATTTAACATTCAGTAATTGGGGTCTGAAGACTTGCAGCAGTAAGGCAATTGTGGTATTGGGGGGGTACTTTTGTTTCGGGCTGGCATTGAGGAAACTCAGGTAGGACAGGTCTAGTTGCTGGTAGGACATAGGGCAACATGCTCCATGCAGTACCAGCTAGGAACTGGGGTTTGTCACAGTATCATAGAATATACTGAATTGGAAGGAATCCACAAAGATCATCAAGTCCAGCTCCTGGCTCCAAGAATCCCACCATGTGCCTGAGAACACTGTCCAAGTGCTTCCTGAACTCTGGCAGACTTGGTGCCATGATCACTGTTCTGGGGAGCCTGCCAAGTGCTTGACTACACTCGGGTTGAAGAACTCTTTCCTAATTTCCATGTAAATGCTTCGATATGGTTTCAGGTTATTTTTTCTTCAGGGACATGACATTAGGAAGTGCTTTGCTTGACTGCTGTGGGAAGTTTCTGCATTATTCAATTACCATTGAATTTAACTTTTCAAAACATTAGCAGTGCCTTCGATAGACAACTGGCAAGTTTACAGTGTTCTACAAAATTTAACTGTGTGTGTTTGAGTGATTAGGTTTGCAGTTGAACACCAGAAAGGCAGAGTCCAGGGAGCAGCCAGCGTGGAAAGGTATTAAAGGTTTTTCCTCCATTGCAAAATTGAAGCACTTCATAGGAACAGGTCAGTCTCTGTGTGCCTGATACAAAGAGAGAAGGCTCCCTGTTTTGTCATCATTACTCATTTAGCCTCTTTCAGGTACCAAACACAAGTTAGTGGTTTCAGACAAGTGCCTGCTGTGTCATATCCTCTCTCTCAGCCTGCTGGCCCCAGCTCTGCTGGTGCAGCCCTGTACAGAGTTGTCGTTCTGGGCTACCAATGCACATTGCCGGCCCCTGTCCAGCCTCAAGTATCACTCATTTATGAGCATTTTTTAATGACTATTTGTTTGTTAATGCCCAACTCAGTGCATCTTTACTATCTGAATTCTTACAGACCTGGAAATGCTGAAAAAATACAGGTTTATCAGTCCTGGTGAATACTTTTAAACCAACTTCTTTGCCTTCTCCCAAGCTCCCACATGACAAATTTTTTTCCCTCTTTTTTGCCCTTATTTTAGAAAGAAAAACAGAGGTCAGAAGAGTCCCACAAAGCACTCCAGATGCCGTGCCTGAGAGGAAAAGAACAACACCCATGAACCCTGCAAACATTTTCCAGAGAATTTCCAGTGGAGTTTCTGGACGACCATTCAAGGACAGGGTGATTCACTTGTTGGCTCTGAAGAATTACAAGAAACCAGAGTTACTTAATCACTTGCAGAGAGATGGAGTCATACAAAAGGACAGGGATTCCCTTGAAATGATCCTTCAGCGGGTGAGATCCTGAAGTTTATGCCAGCAATTTTTCCCTCTCGCTATTCTTTTATTCCTGATTTCTACCTGTGTCATGTTTAAATTAGA